TAATGCATTAGCACTCTTTAAGCTCACAAATTCAGCTGTGAATCTCTGTGTCAGTGTTTCTGGTAAAAGAAAAAGGAATGAATTTATTTTCAAATACGTAAATTAGCAGAAAGCATGATGCTTACATAGGGTACAAATTTCTGTCCTTTGTTAGCACCAGAAGATTCAGGATAATGCAAACTGGCAGAAATTTGTCCCATGCATTTTCTTGACAGAATCCAAAGAAAATTCTTTTCAATTGATATTACTAATTAAGCTATCCTATCAAAGAATTTGCATGCTAAAGAAATAAAAAAGTCAACAGAAAATCTGTAAAAGAAATGTCCCGATACCTCCATCACATAAACTTCCAAGGAAGACTGTGACATTGACTCCCTCTATGTTGTCATCTTCCCACATGAATACATAATGTTCTGCAAAGGTTACATTTTGACATGGAACCCCCGCTGCAGGAAGGCCTTCTGCAGAAGAAAGAAAAAACTCACTCTAATCAAAAGCATTGCCAACTAGAGAGCTGTAACTGAGAAATAACTTAATGGAAAATATTTTTGGCATTTATTTTAATGTTACATTATACAAGGACAGTGTGCTGCCTTCGTAGAGCCCTTTGGTTTCTCAATATTCTAACACCTGCAGTTCCTGTTCCTGTTGTAGTAAAACTCCTTATGAACACAGCACAAGGCTTTACTCCATCAGCTGCTGGGGCTCTCTGGACTCAGGAGTTCCTCTCCTTTCATCCCAACACACTGAGAGAGCCATCATCTCCCAGAAAAACATACTAGTATGGATTTAACACAATCCTGCATTACCCTCCCCCATTGACTGGGAGCCACTATTCTAGAATAAAAGCCGCTTCATTGGCTCAAGATCCTTAAGAAGAAACAAGAGTGTTCAAAACAAATCCAGTACTGCTTACAGGCTGCCTGCCCTGCCTGTTTTATTTCAAATATTAGAAAACTTACAAGATCCTTCCTAGGAATCACGACAGATTTTAGGCACCCAAGTCACTTGAGTCATCCAGGTTAAGTAAGAAACACGCTAATTACAGAAGAGCAGAAACATACCACTTCTAGTGACGAATTTGCCCGTGTCAGTGATGGTTCTGTAGATCACATTTTGTTGGATGAAATCTGAGAATAAAAAACAAACACTGCAGCAATCCTGATAAAAGAGTCATATAAGATATTCACATCCAAGGTACATTCCTTTTCGTTATGGAAATTGTGCAGAGAAGTATTTAGAAAGCTAGTTTTGGTAATGAACCAGGCAGGTTATGTATTCTCTCATGATCCTACTAAGGTAGCATAAATAAACAAAATTAGACAACTTCATTAAGCAGCACAAAAAAAAGAAAATTCTCTTCATGCTGGTAACACTGCATCATCTCAAACTGCAGAGTGACACTTCTTACTTTCTGCATTACAAAAGCATAAATATAAGCACTTCTAAAGCGACAACACTGCACCCTCTTGACAGAAAAGGGAGGCTACAATACAAAAGCAGTAAGAGAGATGCGTCCTTGTGCCACGTGCAGCCGCATGAGTCACCAGAAACAGGTGAATGAGAAACAAAGACTAATCCCACTATTTCTCCTGTCCTAAATAATTTGGGGAAGCTTGGTAGGTGATCAGAAATGGAACTATAGCATCCCTAAACTCTGAACTATAGCCACATAGCTGTCGTGTCAACAGTCCTTTCACTTATTCTGTCTCTGAGGAACATAAATCCATTTCTGTTAGGACTATGCAACATACCTCCTGTTCCACTGTTGATTCTCACATCATGGGGCAGTCCTTCCTTGTAAGATTCTGCCTCAGAAAGGCACTTCACATCAAACTCCTGCAGATACGCTACAGGGGCGTTCCCAACGCACTGCCCTGCCAGGGACTGCTGCAGGTAGTTGAACAGAAACACGTGGGTTAGCCTCAAAATGAAAAGCTAGGAAATAGCACATTTGTCAGTGAAATGCCCCAAATATGCACTACAGCCACATGTGACTGACAAACAAGTAATCTGCATAAAAGAGAGGTTGTAACTATTTCGAAAGCTATCAGTTTTAAAGCAGGCTGGAGTCATCAAAATTTGATAAACCAATTCTAACTGGCAAATCCGTAACATGTAGAAGGACTTAAAATAAAAGAATACAGCCAGACAAAACAAAGAGAAGGCAACAAGTGGTCAGCAGTGCAGCAGGCAGAGAGGAAAAAATAAAGAAGCCACAAACCACTAATTGGGATGCAAATCTTGTTTTTATCTCTTGCAATAATTAAAACTTTACTACCTGGAGGAGTGGGCAGGGGAGTAGGAAAGATAATGATTGTTTTTAACAATGATTTTGTGCTTGGTGAAAAATATGTTCCACCAGTTCACAAGAGCAAGTTATAGAATTTGGCTACAAATACAAAAGAATGTGATAAATGGAGAATTTCAAACGAGCCAAGAGGAGTCAGAAGCTCCTAAACACAAAGCGATTACCTGAGGGATGGTAAAATACTCATCATCCTCTGTCATAATTGGATCTCCTGGTCTGTAACCAGTGAAGAGTTTCCCAGGAGAAGCTTGTACAGGGATCCTAAATGGAGGAACTTTGGGTGCAGAACTGCAGATAAGTTCAAAAACGAAACAATTCCTTACTCCTTTACAATACACAGGTAATTAAACATCTGCCTTCAAGCCCCATGTTCTCATAAAGTACCAATTATATTTCTCCATTTGCATTTAAAGTTCCCAGTTTAAAATTATAATTTCAAAATAACCTTCACTGTAAAAAACATGCTACAGTTTCAACATTATGTCTAAAATGTGTGTTAAGGAAAGAAATCTTCTAAGACTTACATAGAGCCATCATAAAAATAGCCAAGAAATGGTGTATTGCTAAGAGAAGACTGTACACAAAGGAGGGGAAACCAATCAGGAGTATATTCTGTTGTCTTTGTAGAGCACAGCTGATCAAAAGGTGGGTTTACATCCCCACCAAACACTCCAGTGAAACATGATCTGTTGAATAACTGCTTCAGGTCTGCTGTACACTCCTGGAAGGGAAAAGAACGTCTTAGAACACTAATTGCACTACCACAGCCATTAGCGCTGTATTTGCAGGTAACCAAGCCAGTTCTGTAGATAGATGTCATATTTACTATTAGAAATACTAGAAAAAAAAAACAGGCAAACCCTCCTTAAGGAGTGTAGAAATTCTGAAAACATTTCATTAAAGTTTAATATGAAACAAGTACCGGATCACAGCAACAACGAACATCACAAGCTCCATCTGTCAAGTCACAAGGACAGGAGCCCAAGGGCTGAAACGCCTGGTTAGGGATGACAGATGCAATTTCTGTAAAAGAATTACAAGAAAAGAAGAAAAAAAATTATCCTTAAACGCTAATGAAATTTAATCTCTCATTGCTGCCCAAATCCCAATTTATTTATTTATTTGGTATGTAAACAGAAAGTAAATATCATTTCTTCTTCAGCGTATCCAAACACTTACCTGACACGTTTCCCACAAAGGAAGAGTTAGCATATATTTCAGCTTGAATTAGGAGATGTGCCAGCATCACTGAACCACTGCAAGCTGCAACCTGAAGAGTTTCCACCACACAGAGAGGTGCTGTGCAGCAGTCAGTGGCATTGGGCAAACATAACTGCAGACTTCTAGTGAAGGTTACAGTCACTTTGGATGCACCCTGCAAAACACAAAATGACAGATTCAACAGCTTGTATCAAATTACTGTTCTTTGTACCACTATCTTCCAGGAAGCATAGGCAGTTCTGGAGAGGAGGAAGACAAGAAGCCAGTGTCAAAGCTGCACCTTAGTAACTTTGACAATGTGGGTATCCAGATGATGGGACGTGACAAAGGCAAAAAGGCAAAGCACTCTAACTGAGTAAACTAGTATTACATTAGCACCTCATCAGCCTTTAATACACGATTGCTCAAGCTTTCCTATCTTAGGGAAGAATCAGTGTTTACATACCACACCAGGTGTTACACTCAAATCCCAATCACCAACTCTTTCACTTCCACTGCAGCTTGGAACTTGCACATTCCCTATACCAAAATAAAAATTAAAATATATCTATGTTACTGTTAATTCAAACTTCTCACGTGGCTTCAAGCAAGCACATCCCTCAGCCCAGACAACACGGAGTCAGCACAGGAGTAACAGCCTGAGTACAGAGCCCTTCAGAGTTTGGATTCCAGTGACTCTTAAAGCACTGGACACACCGGCAGGGCAGGACGGGCTCTGAGCCTGGGGAGCTGCTGCCCCTGAGCACTGCAGGAGGCGGGAACGGGGAGGTCCATCAGAAGGACCCTCCCAAATCAAATCATCACAGCTCAGTGATGGTTCTATGAACTGCACTGCAGTTACTCGGGTAGTTTTAGTGGCAGGAAAAAAAAAAAAAATTAAGAATTCAAATATATATATATAATTTTTTTCAACATAGCATATAAATAAAGTGTTCTTACCTGTCTCTTTATCTATAGCATCTACAATAATGGAAAAATTAACTCCTGAAGAATCTCCAAGAAAAAATGAATTAACTCTTAGCCCAGACATGTGGATAAAGGAAGGCTGAAAAACTGGGGGGTGGGGGGGAGAAGGTTAAAAAAAAAAAAAAAGAGAAGAATCACATTGTAACACGCACAGAAACCCACAAAGCACCACACACGTGAGGCACGCCAGGCAGTGCCCGGTCAGCACGCGTACGATGCTGCGGCCCTTCCTCCCTCCCTCCCTTCCCTTTCCCTTGCCTTTCCCACCCACCAGGCTCCCCATGGCGCTGCCCCGCGCACGGAGCCGCCAGAAGCAGCAGCAGCAGCGCCCCGAGCCCGGCGGCCGCCATGGCGTCAGGAAGCGCCGCGCCGCCGGGCCGCCATCTTGAGGCGGCGATGCCGCTGCCATGGCGACGGGGAGGGCGGGAAGCGCTGAGGCAGCGCCGTGTCACAGCGTGCCGCCCCGCCTTACAAACACCCAGGAGGCCGAACGGTATCCGCGTTTGTAAAAAGAGCTGCCTTTATTTCAAAAGGTTTTGTAGAAAGCGAATTCTAGATACAGCCTTCTAACAAAATGGCTCCCGGCTACAAGGATGGCACTGATGAGAACAGCCGCACTGACCGAAGCCAGGTGCACAGCTGGATGCGCAGACATGGCTGCACACAGGCAGATGATTTTGTGCTTTTTTAACCAAAGCAGCACATGAAGCACACCATACACCCTCATACTCGGATACAAAACACATTGATCCCAAACCTTTCCAGTTTCAAAGCACAGCACTGCAGACTAACCTCCTAACGGACATTTACCGATGTCATTTTACAAAAGTAAGCCCCTTTTCACACATAAACGAGGTCTTAAACTCCCCTGGAAAGGGTACCTCCGTATTACTGTTCCAGTGATATTCATCTGCTGAGGAGCAGCTATTCAAGAGAACCAAAAGCACAAAGGAAATAAAAGTTTATGACAACGTGAGCATGTATGTAACCACAGAATTCACATCCTGAACAGGAAGGTGTGTCCTAAGCCATCTTGAAACATTTGGCTTTCTTCTTCAGAAGCTGCCCCCATTTCAGTGCCCAGACAGCCACGGAGAGCTCACAGAACACTGAAGTCCTTGAATAGCAGTACTGAGATTCAGACATTGGCAGTGGTCATAACTCCCCTCTACACCAACATGTGATTAAAATCAAAGCTTTCTTGTCTTTGAAAATAATTTGGAGGTTTGAAACTGCAGCAGCAAGAATACTTCTAACTTTGCAAGATCTGTATCTTAACAACCTGTAACTTCTGGTTCTAAATACAACGAATAATCAGTATTTAAAACAGCACAGATTACCAGTGAATACAGTGATTTGTTACTACACAGAAAACATGACTTAAATGCTTTATCAAAGTAAGCTGTAAGACCACATACAGGTCTATTTCGTATCCCATAAAAAGTGTCATCAATTTCTCAAGTATGTTCCACGTCACGGAATTACAGGAGGAGGTAATGGTGTGTTTAAGTCGCATTAAACAGCTAACTTTAATTTCTTCTTCTTAGCTTTCATGACAGGTGGCAGTGATATTTTGAAAGCAGTCCTGAAATAATATAAAAAGGAACTGTCAATTACAACAAACATATTTTCACTCCCATTCCTGAAATAAGAAGAAATACTTACTCGCATGTACTGCAAATAGGACTGAAGTTGCAGAATACTGGAAAATAGAAGAATTAGCTGTCACTAAAATCGTTCATTTGGAATGTAGGAAGTTAAACTCATATTTATTAACTTACTTGACAAGCACACAGAGCATACATAACCAATTTCAATGAGATTTCGATGACAGAAACATGCAGCTCTGTAATCAACATGAACAGGAGGTGGAAGCACAAGCTGTGATCTTTGCTCTTGATCAGGGAGAAAAACCCACTATATAAACAGGAAAAAAAAAAAAAAAAGTGTGGAAATTGCTGTATTACCGTGCCATTGAAGTCAGAAAGATTTCACATCTGACATAGGAAAAAGCTTGTGAAGACATACCAACAAATACTGCAGGAGGGATGGCAGGTGGGGCACTTTCAAGTATATACCACCTGTAATGTCACAAGCCTGGAACGCAGAGAGAATGATCAGATAGTTCAGTCCTAAAAGGAAGGCAACAGTTTCTACTAGCCAAGGAAAAAGAACAAAACAATAACAAATTGTTACAAAATAGGAGGGCACAAAAAGACTGTGAAAAAGAGACAGCATTTTACCATCATAAAATACCCAGACGTTGTCACGTAGAAGGGTGTAATGTCTCTTTCTCTGGTTTAAAAAAAGTTGAGTGCTTTAAAATACCAAGCTATCTGTCATCAAGTATCCATGAATTAAAGTAAATAGCAAATAAGAATAGGAAGCCTGTACCTGTTGTAGAAGGCCTGAATCAGAGTCCAAGACACAAGCATCAATCAAAATACTCTGCAAGAGACCCACAAAAAAAAGGAATTCAGCTAGGAACAATGTAACCTCGTCCATCTCATACACCTTTTACAGCTGCAGAATCACCACAGCAATAAGAAAGCTTCTTCCCCTGGTCAGAACAAACACCCACATTTCTAACACCTCCCTTCTCACACATGGCGATAAAAGAACCATCAGCAAAGGCATCCTGTACACAGTACCCATAGTACAGAAGGCTACCATCTATTCTTTCATAGCAATCTCTAATTAGTCCAGCAAACCCTTCATGTTAAGCAGTAGGATCTGACTTTTAAACTTGGTTACCTTTCTCTCTGGGCATGACAGTCTTCACATCAAGGACACTTCAATCAGATCACAGCCATAGCATAAATGAATTTTCTTTCACTCTTTACACACTAATAAAAGATTATATATACACCAAACAGCTTCACCTGTTTCTGTGCTGCAAAGATCACATTCATGAAATTCATATATTGTAATGCACTGTCTTCTGCAGCTTTTATGACCTAAATAAAACAATTGAGACTTGTTAGCCCACATAGCATCAATGCATTTTAAGACTAATAGTAGACTAACAACAAAGCTCTTACCAAAATTCTTGATTTCATTTCCTGATTGGCTGATTATCAAAAAGAAAATAAAAGCGCATGAGTACATCCATTCCCTGTAATTGTCCTTACAATGCTATAGCACCTAACATTCCAATTAATCTAAATCCAATTAATCTAACATCCAAAATGATAGATCTACCATCTCAGTAGGTGTCAATGTAAACGTCTAATAGTCCCACTGGTACAGAAAACACCAGAAATAAGCGACAAATATCTGTAGAACTTGTTATGAAAGTAGGCCTATTCCATTTGTTGTCCAAAAGCAATTAGGTATTGGTCAGAAAGGCTGTTCATTACCAACTCATCAGTTCAATCAGCTATCTTGAGTTAGAAGGTATATACACATACTTGCTTGTATGCAAATATGCATTTTTTTCTGCTATTGCAATTCAAATACTTGTGGAAGCACTCACAAGGCATTACCTTTCACCTCTTTGCTCATCTTGTTAATATCTACATTAGATGACATTAAGGAATCCACATTCTTTTCATGGAAGCAACACCAGTATCCATGCAATGAATTCATTACCTTAAACAATACACATTGTTCAATCCACAGTTATCAGGACAATGTTTCACTTTTGAAAATTATTACAGAATGCACTGATAGTGAGACTGTGTGGAAGCATAATTAACATAACGAGAAACAGCCTTAAAGAAACAGACAAAACCTTCTAAAACATCCATCATCAAAAGGATACAACAAAGTGCTTTAGCAAGAGACCCTGCTAGCAGAGTCTCTGTTTGCTGGCCCATCATGTCAGCTGCAATGCAAATTACAGAAATTACTTTTATATTTTTATGTTTTTTTGCAATTCCACATTATGAAACCTAGAATTTTCTTTTCCTTACTTTTTGTCATGAGGTCTTTAATCTCTTCTGCAATTGCATCGTTTATTGCTGTTAACAATTCATATTTTCCATCCTTGCTGCCAGAACAATTCGATTCCACAGAACTGCCACCATCTCCAAGGAGATCTGCAGAAGCCCAGCGCTTCCCAGGGTACAAGAAACGGCTGAAAGAGAGGAAAAACAAAGTACTGTGGTTTGCTTTAAGCCTGTAAGAAAAAAAAAAAGACGTAAGCTGACCACTCATAAACAGCAATATTTTAAAGTAAAATTTCAAATAATTTTAAAATTTTAGACATTATTTTGGATACATTAGGCAAGAAATCTTCACACCCCAAATGGTTCACTGCCCTCCTTTCAAGACACATTTTAAGCCAACTGGCAAACAGGTAGCACACATTTGTACGTAGATTCCGAGACGTGAATTTCTTTAGAACACATCAACCAAACGGGAAACTTTTGTCACTTTCATTGACTCTTCCTTGCTTTGCAAAAGGCACTAAAACAGATCATTTCTCTCCTATGCTATCAGGAGACATAGAAAAACGCTTCAGGCTTTTATAGTGGTGAGAAGCTGCTGTACCTTTCCTGCGTGTGACTGGCTATCACAGCAAGTTTGTTGGTGCGACTCATGAACAGGTGTGAATTTCCCAGCACCATTGCTGCGTCGATACATTTTGACAGGGTGAACTGCCCAAAAAAAAGAACAATTCAGCAAGTCAGCATCTACAGTTAACTAATGCATGTAACTGCAGTTAGAACTTGAAGGCGTAGTTCCCTTTCTAACAGGAAGCATCTAAGGAAAGCTTTGACAGCTGTAGAACCATGGAACGATTTCAGTTGGAAGAGACTCTTCAGTCTCGCACCCTGTGAATATCTTTCGTATTTCCCACCACGGTTTCCACGAGGACTTCCCTGAGAAGCGGCCCCGCCGCAGCGCCGTCCCAGGACGCACCTCAGCCTCCCCCTGCGCCCGCTTCCCCCACCAGATGGGGTTGGTGTCGATGACGATGACCAGCAGGCTCAGCTCCTCGTCTGCAAAACACAGGGGGTCACTGCAGAAGGCCGCGCCCGGAGCCCCGGGGCTGCGCTTCGCAGGGCTGCGCTGCGCAGGGCTCGGCTCCGCCCGGCCCACCCCACTCCCGGATCCCCCGGCCGCCGCCGCTCACCCGCGCCCATCCCGCCGCCGGCGGCGCGCACCGGTGACGTCACGCGGAGCACAACGTCATCGCAGGGCGCTGCGCGGGGCCGGGCAGGGCGTGGGCGGCCATGAGCACGGACGGTAACGGGGCGCTAGGAGGGAGGCGGGGAGCCGGGTCGAGCCGAGGCTGAGGCGGCCCTTTGCCTTTCAGACCTGATCGAGACCTTCAGGGCGCAGCTGAGGGACGACCCCGACGTCGCCTCGGCGGTGGCCGCCATCCGCGCGCTGCTGGGCTTCCTCCGGCGGGACCGAGGTGGGCGCCGATCCCCCGCGGCCGAACCCGAACCGGGGAGGCCCGACCCTGACAGCGCCGCTCTGTCCGCCCCCCAGGAGAAACCATCCAGGGCTTGCGGAGCAGCCTGCGCGATGCCATCGATACGCTGTCGCGGGTGGACTCGTCGGTGGCCGTCAACTCCGGCGGGGAGCTTTTCCTGCGCTTCATCAGCCTCACCTCGCTGGAGTACTCGGTAAGGCGCGGGCTCCCGCCCAGCTCCGTGCTATGGGGCCGGCCGGCTGCTTCAACACTCGCCGTCCTTTCCAGGACTACTCCAAGTGCAAAGAAATCATGATCGAGCGCGGGGAGATCTTCCTCAGGAAGGTGTCTCTCTCGAGGAACAAAATCGCCAAGCTGTGCCATCCCTTCATCAGAGATGGAGCCGTAAGTAGGCCAGGGCAGCTGCTCGCGTCCAGGCTGCCTGTGCTGCTGGGAAGGCAGAGGAGGAGGGGGTGAAGCTCACCAGCATCCATAGAAGCAGTGGAGGAGGGGACAACGTTATTATCCCTGTGCACTCACAGAAGCCGTGGCTTTATTTCGTAAGGGCTGATCTCCTCCCCTCCTTTTGTTCCCATGCAATGCATTGTCCTTGCTCCACCTGTGCTGAGACATCGCAACACGCAGTTACCATTTAATGTACTGAATTGTTGCCCTTTAGTAGCAGGACTGCCATATCAAGCCCATCTCTCAGAGTGGTTTCCTCTCCTACAATCTCTAGAATACAAGCAACATCATAGAATTATAGAATCATTTCAGTTGGAAGAGATTCTTAAATCTCATATAGTCCAACTGCCCGCAGTGCACAGGGACACCCACAGCTCCATCAGTGCTCACAGCCCATCCCCTGACCATGGCTGGCTGCAGGGATGGAGGCACCACCACCCCTCTGGACACCTGGTGCCAGTGCTTCCCTACCCTTATCATAACTTTTTTCTTATATCCAGTCTAAACTGTCCCTCTTTTAGTTTAAGACCATAACATCATATGTTAGATATTAATTAACATCGACACAAGCAAAGTAAAAACCCTGACACTCCTAACTGCAATAAATGTTTCAGAGCTCAGCAAGAAGTAATATTTTGTCTGTTTTGACAGAGGATTTTGACACATGCCTACTCAAGAGTGGTCCTCAGAGTGCTAGAAGCTGCTGTTGAGTCAAAGAAGCGATTCAGCGTTTATGTTACTGAATCACAGCCAGACCAAGCAGGGCAAGTACTCATTAGCTTGTGCTTGATCTTGGTTAAGAGGATAAGCTATAGCTAGCATCAAATCTGTCATAACTTAAAAGCTGCTAGCCTTGTAGGAACACAGGACGTCATGGGTTTCATTCTTTCAGACATTGTTTTTCTAGCATCATCTTCGAAGAAAGACTTCTAAGCTTCATATTTGTTTTTTGATAGGCAAAAAATGGCAAAGGCCCTGAGGAAACTGAACATTCCTGTGACTGTGATATTGGATGCTGCAGTTGGGTAAGCCTGATCATTAAATCTTAATGTTGTTCATCCCAACTTTATTTAACATTGTTACATTTAAGTTCCATAGAAGATTGTTCTAAATAGTTGTCATAGTCATCAAACAAGCTAAGCAAGTTACGCCTTTAAGTGCATAATTAACCAAATATGCCTGCTGCAAAGCCTGTACTTTGATGTTTGCCTATTAGGTCTGACTCCGTCAACCCAAGTATAGAACTTGGGGATATGTGGAGAAGGAGCTGCTGTACTAAAGAAAGCTACTTTGATTGTTCCACTTTATAAATGTTGTGTTTGCTTGTTTTTAAGCTAAATTATAGCATATTTTGTCATGTACTGACTACAACTGATGAATTTCTCCCAGCACTTACACAATTGTCAATGTCAGACATGGTTTGTGCCATTCTTGCTGAGCAAGCAGGTGAGTGAAGGCTCGTTCCAAGGATGTCTAACAACACAGCCCTACTTAGCTAACAGCAGCTAAAACTACTTTAGAAAAGTGAGAGACTGAGTTCCTTATCTCTGTTCTGTTCCATGAGTCATATTATTTACTAAGACTTGGATTTTTTCCCCTCCTTCAACAGCTATATTATGGAGAAAGTGGACCTGGTCTTAGTTGGTGCTGAAGGTGTAGTTGAAAGCGGAGGCATTATTAACAAGGTAAAAGAGAATGCATTACATCAGTCTGTAAACTCTATTAAAACTTTCTTGGATATCAATCAGTGAAAGTGTTATCATTGGAAATGTGGCAATATTAAGTCAAACTAGCACTGAATCTGCATGTTATTTTTTGTGTCTCCACAGATTGGCACCAATCAGATTGCTGTGTGTGCCAAAGCTCAGAATAAGCCATTTTATGTGGTAGCAGAAAGTTTCAAGTTTGTAAGACTTTTCCCCCTCAACCAGCAGGATGTCCCAGATAAGTTTAAGGTAAGAGAAATACAGGTTGCTTCCTGGCAAACTGAGATCCACTTACATGCCTGTGAGTAATTTTCTTCTAAGCACGTCTTGGTTTATTTGGCTCTCTCTACTGTAGTTAACTTGACACAGTACAGAGCTGCTCCACGTTCAGCTCAAACATCCACAGTTTGTCCTAATACTCTCATTGAGTTACTAAAAGCAGTTCCTTTGGGGCACAGCAGTAGCTGCAGGCAAGAAACAGCTACATCAAGACACTTCAGCACTATAAGTTGTATGGTGGATAGAAGGTAAAACACTCGAGACCAAGGTGGCAGTGTATGCCTCATTTAAAGCAGCTGACTTCCATTTTACTACAAATATCTGCTCAGGATTACAGTACTGCCCCTGCCCAAGAGAGGTTTCAGCTCACAACTGTGTAGTAATTAATGGTCTCATTTCCTTCTAGTACAAAGCAGACACTCTGAAAACAAGTCAGAATCTAACAGAGGAACATCCCTGGATTGACTACACATCACCGTCGCTCATTACATTACTGTTTACAGACCTCGGTGTGTTAACTCCATCAGCTGTCAGTGATGAACTCATTAAGCTCTATCTGTAACATGAGGACATGCTATGCAATGTACCATCTTCGATGACTTCACAGCTATAAGAGCCTGGCAGGTGATGAAGTGGGCTGGACCGTGGTAAGGACACAGCATTACAAGGATTCATGTCATTACTGGCCTTCTTCAGCTTAAGGCGTTACCTGGGGGTGGATCGCTGTTTAGAAACGAAAAATCCAAGTTGCTACAGCTTCTGAATACCTTCAATGAATTATCTGAAAGATGGGCCAAGTACTGCAGTACTGAAAAATAAAGTAACTTATGGTGTTTGCGGCCTCATTCGGAGCTGTGCTGTCACTCACTGATCTGTGAACAAAAAAAAGCCCTGAAATAAATGCTCCAAAAGAAAGCTGTAGCTCCAGCCAAATCATACAAGGGCAGTGCTTTTAGCTTTGTTCTTAGCTGTGCTTATGGAAACCAGGTTTCTTCACGAAGAAATTAAATCTGTTCTGTTCTCTGCATCATTATTTTGTTATAAAAATACAGTTTTATTGGAACAAGGAGTATCTTAATGTAAAAGTCCAGTTGGAATAAACGTCAACCTTCAGTCTCAGTTAGCAGCAGCTTCTTCTTTGAATTTACTCTGGCTACCTGTTAGCCTCTTCTCAAATTCTTCTTCACTTATTTTCCCCTTTTTTAATCTCTTCAAGAGTCTCGTGTCATTCAGCAGCTCTTCCATGTCCTCATCTTCCATATCAGAGCCCTGTTAGCCATTGAAGTACAACAGATTACACACAACACCAAAAGGCTTCATTTCTATGTAGCTGAACACAACAGAATTTTACGTTTTTTTGCCAGCAGCATCCAAGCAGGAAATTACACTCAATTTCTACAACCAATCTATCAAATAACCTTAGTAAGATACAAAAATAAAAGCAACAACAAATAAGAACTGTCCACTGAAGTGACTGCTGTATCCCTTACAATGCATGCAGCCTACGAGCCTATGCTGCCAGCAGTTCACCATGAGTGATGAGAAACTGCTTCAACATTTGGCTTTAAAAAGCTTTTTTTTTTTATGCTTTGCCTGTCAAGGACCTGGAAGGTTTCTTTTCAGTAAGTAGTTCTGCAGTGCACCTCACTCCTGTCACACTGAAATCCCACTGCTCTGCCTTGTGGCAGTTCACACCTATGCTAAAGCAATGACGTGCACTTTAATAAGATGGGCACTCTTTACCTCTTCACGCTTCCTTTTAGCTGTTATTTTCCTCTTCTTCTCCCTTTTGGCTTTCTGCTTTGACCAGGATTTGTTTTTTATGAATTTCTTTTTTCCTCCACTTTCCTGTCTTTCCTTTCTTTGTTGTTCCAGTTGCTTTTGCCTCTGTTTTTCTCTGTTTTTATCCTTAAATGGAATGGAGTCTGTATTAACAGTGACTGGAGTAAAGTCTGGAAAACATTTTCCTCTTAGCTCAGGCATCTTTGGCATCTTTAACAAGGCAAAACCTTTAGCAAGACTAGCAAAGTCCAGATCTGTTAAGATAAGGATTATAAAGTCAGTTTTCTGCTGGATAAAAAGTTAACTTACAGAGTCACAGGAAAAAAGATTATCCTGAAATTTGTATTTAATAGCAGTAACAACCTTAGGTCACATTTATGCTCAGGTTTGTTTCAGTCAGACTTGCTAATTAAACATTTTCTCTGAAAACGATGAGAAACTGCTTAAGCAAATAAGAATTCTGTCACAACTGGATACTGCAGGAAGTACCTCTGAGAACAGAAATGGGTGGTTGT